ACTTAAGCAAAAGAAGTCACAATGATAGTGCACAGCAGTCTAGAGGACTCTTCATGTTGATTTAAATTGCAATGCTTTTAAACTTTGACCTCAGCTCATTTGAATTGTCAACAAAAATGCTCAGTAGCACTTGCACTAAATATAGCGGTTGGAGGAAACTAGGGCTGCCTAAACATGCTGGACTTTCTCTTTCAGGGACAGTTGCATCTCAAAGACATTAAACATGATTCTGCTCAAACATAGCCGTTTGGATTTTTATCTGTCCAATCTGAGTAAATCAAAACAAACACAATGGTGTACCATTGTAAAACTGGGGAAAAAAAGTTAATATTATTACTTCCCTTTTGCAAATGAGAATACTAAGCCACACTCAAGGCCAAAGAGACCTATAGAATCATGATAAGTTTCAAGCACTTTGTCCTCCTTTAAGGCTTAGATAATTTTCAAGACCAGCATTTCTGTCTTCCATTCTATACTCCAATTTCCACTCCAGATGGCAAAAAAATAATTAACTAACAAAATAAATAACAATATAAGAGGAGAAAGAGTTCATTGTAGATCTACGATTTGAAAAAGATAAGAGTTGGAAAGAAATCCTGCAGTAACAGTGGGAACTTTCCCCACTCGAGTTGTGCAAAAGATGAGTAGGTCTATGGTGTAATGAAAACTGAGCATTTTATTATTCAGAAAGGTTTTACCTGAATTATGAAGAGTTTTTGGCTGCTCATTCATCTAGCCAAGTGTAAACATCTGCATCTCAGATGTTCCCTCCAGGCTTCCTTTATAATTAGCAGAGATGGATCACCATTTCTAGAGAGGAAATACTCTTGTTTCAGGCAGACACTGATGACTGATTAGATTAGTAACATCTTAGAACTATTACAGAGACATGGATGGGCAGGTGAATTAAACCATGTATCCAGACAAGCATGGAATAAGAAAGCTTAGCCTTGGGGGTCTTTTGAGTGTGTGTATCCATATGGAAGTGATGTAAACTTTCTGTGAACTTAGCTGGAGAAAGGAAGCTGCCTGATTCATTCTAGACAGAAATATTTAAATTGTTTTCTAAGGAGCATTTATCTATATAAAGTAGCTGTCTTGAAGCCCCATATTGTTAGCTACTGTAGGTTGGAGAGATTGTTTTGTAGTGTGTGGGTTTCCCCCATATGACACTTATGGGGATCAAAAGAGAAGAATTAAGGAAAACCAATTAAAAAATAGTCAGTAAGCCTGAATTCTTGACCTACTGGGTCAGATCCAAGCACAATTTTTTTGGAAGATGTTGAGTATCTCTGCCCAGATTCACTGTGCTGTCTTTAGGATTCTAATGTAATTTGGGATCTCCAAGTATAATTAAAAAGGTGAGTTATTCCATAAAAATTGTACCTGTGAGAGATCTCAACTGCTCCATGGCTCCTGGTCATCTTCACCAAGTACAGAAGGAGCCTGGAATGCTGTGGTCCAGCACTTGGAATTAGGTAGGATGTATGTGGGATAGGATTTAATTTACAGAAATGGAAACTCTGAAAACCTCACTTAGGTCACCGCCTCAATGGTTTTTATGAGTAGCCCTCATAAAAGCAGCCCTTATTTATCTTGCCTGCATTCCTAGAGAAATTTTCAATTACAGACGTCTGAAAAAGTGCTTCTGGGGGTTCCAGTGCCACCAGCTATGAAAAGTTTTAGGATTCTTACTAATATTAAAAGATACTCAGTCACAATTTTTAACTGATGCCAAGTAAGTGCAGACACGCCTATAGGTAATCATGACTAATGAACAATATTAAAGTTAATAGCTCTGTAAGAAAAGAGTCAGTTCAAATGCTTTTCCATTTCTCCATTCTCCTAAACAACAGCTGAGTTTATACCTTCATCTCCTTTACATAAATTCTGGATTAGATGGAAAATTTGGAGATGTGGTTGAATTCATTTGGTTTTGTGTAAGGAAGATTGTCCTGAGGTGAAAAGCACAGAAACCATTTGGGAAGCTGTAAGTGCTTCTGTATTTGTTCCTTGGGGAAAATACTATCTAAAACACTGAATGGCAAAAGAAAAGAGATCAAGTAAATTAGAATTTCCTAACACAAATATTTTTTTTAAGAGAATACTATAGGACCTAACCAATTTGAGTGAGCTATTAGATATTTGTCAGTAATTGATAATATTGTTTCTTCCCTTCTACAGCTTCTCAATTTTCCCCTTTGCACAAGACATTTGCTCTTGTAGCAGTGAAAATGAAATCAACGATGCGTACTACTCTTTTAGATGCATTTGCATGTATACAGATAGAAGGCTAAAGAGAGATATTTTTGCCTTCAACTACCTAACAGGAGAATGTAAAAGAATCAGATACAGACTTGCCAGAGGAAGGGCAACAAACAGAAGTTTAACATGGGAAATTCCAGTTAGAAGGAAATAAGTTTTACCTTAGGGGTAGTGAAATTCAAGTGGAGGATGGAGGTCTCTAGTCCAGAGATGTGGGAGATTATCCATCCTTGGGCATCTCTGAATTTGAGCAAAACCCTGAACAATCTCACCTAACTCAATTTGAACAGGACATTAGACTAGATGACTTCCAAAGGGTTTTTTAATTCTAAAGTATTATATTAATATTTTCATAATAAAATCTGAGTAATATAAATGAACCTTTACAATTCACAGTAAGATTTTACTCATTCCAACTCATTCTTTGCTGTCGTCTTTGCTTGTTTCCTTGTGAACTGCAACACCCTTTGCAAGTGTTTCTGTTTTGTTCTGGTTTCATTTGTTTGCAGTCTCTAGTAATTCTTAGCCGTTTTGCAGGTTTTTATATAACATTCAGTGTTAGCTAAAGTTAAAAATGTAATAAGCAAATGCATGCACAAATTTTATAGTTAGTAATTGACCAGGGGAAAAAAAAAACTTTTAGTACAGAACACTTAGTGAATGTTATTTAACCATTGATTGTGTTGGTCAAACAAATAGAACAGTTAATTGTGAATAATGTATTTGGAATAAAATGTTAGCATTTCCTTTATAAATTATTTGTCATATATTATTAAGGAAGCTCTTTCAGTGCTGGGAAAAGCTGAAAGCTACTGTAGAGGTTCAATTTTGTTACTTTATTTCATTACATAGTGTTGTAAAGTCCTGGAAAGTGCTCAGGGAGTCGGAAACTAATGTTTTCAGAGACTGAGTTGAGCAGCAGTGCCAGGACCCTCAAATCCAAGGAAACAAAAGACTTTTAGCACCTCAGAAATTGTCAATACCTTGAGCAATCAAGCCCTTTATCTGCTTCTATGAGACATTAAATATACATGAACAATAGCAGGCAAACTTTAGGTAGCAAGGAACAGTCCTGTTACTATCTTACAGTCTGCAAGAGGATTTTGTTTTATTCATTTTGCCTCTGTTTGATGCATTGTTTCCAGGCCCTTTCCTGAGAAAAGCCAGCTATGCCTGTAGAGCAGCTATCTTCAAAGCGTCTTTGTGTTGACCTGGGCAAGTATAACTTTAGAGATAGGAAGCTAGCTGAAGGAGCAAATTTGCCTCAAAATGTGACAGATCCTCACAGTTGAAGACATGGAGATAACTCACATAGAGATACCATTCTGACACTTTTACATATGCAAACAGAAGTTGGGAAAATATCACACTTCTCAGCATTGCAGTCTGAAACCCTGCATTAGACTGCTTTTCTTTTTGTTTGCATTGTGACAAAATCATGAGGAATAGCAGGAGATAACACATCCCCATGTAAAGAATATAGTGTTTCTATGCTGCATTGATTTTTTTTCATCCAAAGTCTCCTGTGATTTACCACTGAGTACAATTTCCAGCCAACCAGACTTGATTTGGACTCCCTTCAGGTAAGACTGTAAGAAAGACGTGATTTTCTTGTTATTGTACCTGTTCTGTAGATAAAGAACAATAGGTTTGCATCCAGAACTCAATTTGAAAGAGCACTAGATTATTTTGGACTTTTTAAAATGATAGCTATCTGCAAATTATATACAAATCAGAACTGAAGTCAGGAGGAGGGATATCAGTTGCACAGACTAGTTGGGTATCCTGTATTTCCTCTTTTGTATTTAACTGCAGTTGGATATGAAAGTGGAAATTTGTACTGAGATGCTTTTAACAGAGTCCTGTCTGAGCTTTTCTATATGTGACATCAGGTTCAGACAATGCCATATCTTGTGTAGACTTCTGGCGTATGAATCCCTGTGTAAAGTGGTGTACACAGTCCTGGTGATACACAGACCACTTAAATACAGTTTTGTATTAATGACTTTTTATTGGACCTAATACTGGCTTCAAAAGACTTCTTGCTCTAATTTTCTTCAGTAAGCCTGCTGGTAATATAGTTTGACTTAGCCTATCCTGCCAAATATAGTTTGGACTTCATCTCTGTCATAGATCTGATCTTCTCCTTGAAGATAAGGTAAAAGCCTATCTTCAAATCAGTCATATGAAAATCTCTTTCTTGTTAATCATCCAAGATGACCTTGCAAATTAAACACGTTTTAAAATGGCAAAATTCCATAGAAAACAGATAGATACCTGTAGTTGGTATACTTCTGTGCTTTCTTGTTGTCCTATGAGATGGCAGCCTTTATTAAATACAACCAAATGGGCTTGGGAATCCCTCTAAGTTAATTAAAAATTGATGATGAGGACAGTTATTCAGTGGATTGGTCAGCTATAAAACACAACTACCCCCAGAATGAATTAAATATTCAACATGTAAAAAGGAGTAAGTTAATTGTAATCAAATGTGAAAAACATAGCTAGGAAAAGAAGAATATAATACTATTTTCTCTATGTAGCCACATATCACTTTTTAACACAATTGTTACCACATTGCATTCCAAATTATAACATTTGGTTTGTTTTAGAATTTCAAATACATAAGGGCTTTCTCACAATACACCCGTATCTAGCAAAAACTTTATACATATTCCCAAGTGCCTAAAATCCAGCTTCAGCTAATGCTGTAGCATATACCTCCTACCATGAGTGCATCTGAATAGCAAATAAGCCATTCTTGCATTGGCTGTCGCTAACAGCATCATTTTATGCATTAAATGTGCTACAGAAATGTAAAACATAAGTACTATGAATAAGATATTTTTCTTACATATATCTTACATACATATGTAGCACTGGATTTAATATTAAGCACAGCTGAGAAGAAAATGATTTATTGCATAAGAATGTAATCTGGGAAAACGGCATTTCTGATTCACTGTCCAGATTCATAATTGCTTCATGTACCCTTAGTTGCTCTAAGGGCTGTTAATAGACTCTTGGTTTGTGATAACAGCAACTGTAGCTGTCCATGAAAGTATGAACTTGCTTTGAAAAGGAAGAGAAGCAGCCTGAATTCACAAATAGCCTTGAGGGCTATCTTAAGATAGCCTAAATTACCCGCTAAAGGTATGCAAATCAAGTCTTGGCTGAGTGTTCAAAGGCTTTCAGGTTCTTTTTCAACATGTTAAGTGACAATTCCTCTCCCCAGTCTGTAAGAAGTAAACCAGACTAAACTCAATTTAGCAGTAATTACTAATACTCTTTTTTTGCATTCATACATTTTTAAGGTCAATATGGACCATTCTGCAGAACTGATTCACAGGCTTCTTGAATTGATGTGAATTAAAAATGTCCAATAGTTATGCATAAAGTGTACATATTAGGCAAAACCATCCAATATTGATTTCACCAATTCTAGAAGTGGAATCAGTGTTTCATGAGTTCTTGTGATTAATACAACTGCTAAAAAAATTGAGCTCAGTAATAACTAAAATGATTGACTTCACCTTTCAGCCATTGAGTTTTGTTATAACTGCCTAATCTGTTGAACTTGGAATACTATCATTTCTCTGTTACTATGTACTTGCTGATTTTGAGCAACTCATTTTTTAATCATTCACTTTATTCATGGGAGAAACAGAGTTGACTGAATCTTTACCATAAAAGATGTTTTTTACTCTCGAGATTCTTTAAATTCTTACCAGTTCCTCAGTATTGTTCTTGCATTGAGAAAAGGACTCAGTATTCCTTAACTGTGGACACACAAGAATCTGAATATGATAATTTAACCTATTTCATCAATGTCCTTTTTGTATACTCAAGGAGTGATAGTCTAGATTAAAGTATAGAATGGAATGTAGTAGAATAGAAGTTCCTTGTTGTATAAGTGGGTATCATCTGCTATAAAGCTAAAACTGAAATCTACACCTCTGACTCTTGCCAACTTATTAGATATCAAACGCTTGCCTTCTGTACGACTTACCTCTTTCCCTGTCATTACATTATCTGCAAATTTCATCAGTTAAGTTACTTTTTCCCAAGTTTTTAACAGAAATATTAATATTGTAAAGCTGACAAACAGTATCTCCAAGAGCCCACTGCAAAAATCACTCTTGAGCAGTGATTGTTTGTGTATACATACTTTGGGAAACTTAGCTGTTAGATAATTTGGAATCATTCTGTTATGTGCCATGCTAATTTCGTATCAGCTGAGTTTTTAAACAAACTGTCACATAGTACCAAGCAAAACACCTTTCAAAGGTCCAAACATATAGACACAGTTATTTTAAGCAATCCGAAGTTTTATCATGTCAAAATATGATGTAGGTTACTCTGAAAATATTTTTGCCCGCAAAATCATTTGGTCAGCATTAACTGCATTTCTTTCCTCCCTTTATACATGGAGTCTGTAATAGCGTTGCACAATGTTTGTCATGTATATGGGAGTGTTGTCAGCTGAGCTGGTCTTTAATTTCATAGGTCATTCTGTTTATGCTGCTTACATATTCCAGACTAGGATCTACAAGTATTTTGATGTCTTTCCCTGCTTTCCAATGTGTATTAAAATCAACAAGAATATAGAACATTCTCAAACAGCCACCTCTTTCAAAACTACCTAGACTATATCTTTGCTCACTGGACATACAGATTTTTTTCCTTATTTCTCTTACTTTTTGTGGTGTATTTCTGATTATAAATATCAAGGTATCTCTGGAAATTAAATCTCCTTTCTAAAAACTGTGGTATAATTCTTGCCCATTACAGTGATGTAACAATGCAGGGAGAACATCTCTTTTCATTTGCTTGCTGTTAAGGAGAAAATTTTCCATCTTTCTCCTCTCCCATTTCTTTAGCTATTTTGGTATTGTAATTGTTGGTTATTTTACTTAGATTGCATGTGTATGTAAAAGAAGCAAGAAATCTTGATTGTCAGAAGATTCTGGAAAATTCCAATATAGTGCAAGAAAAATGCAGCACAGCTTACAAGCAGATCAAAAACTCCTCAAAGCTTTAAGGATTTGGGGGGGAACCCTGAAGTTATCTTCTTGGCAGATAATAGGCTCTCCTGCTCCAGCGTTCTACCCTTGCATTTACTAATTGCAAAGTTAGCTTGTAGAAAAATCCTTTCTCATTATTTTCTGAGTGATTTATGCCTTCCCTGGGTAGATGGCAGTTTTAACCTGGGTAAGCAACTGGCTCCAGTGCAGTGAGTTTTAGATTCTTCATGAATTTTGAATTTCCCCCAGCATTCTGGGTTCACTGAGTTTTATGGGCCAATAACCTGGATTTATCTCATATGTTTAGGAGGGCTGTTTTTTTCCTAAATGGAGGCAAATGTATTTGGAAAGAAATCTAAGTAACGGAACACAATTACTTTGTGTAGCTAGTCAAAGGATCTGTTATATTCATAATTCCTTACACATTACTAGCGAGTGAAGTTTGCCTTCTGTACTATGCAATAATTTCCTAGTGGTTCTTTTATTTGAAATGTTAATTTTCCTCCTTTTTTTTTTTTTATTTATTATTAACATTATCTGTTAGGAAAAGTGAATGTTTCTGTGCCCAGATTTTGTAAGGAATTAACACACTAAGGGCTTGATTCATTGCTGCCTCGTTCCAGCTTTATGCCACTATAGCTCTGCTGATTACAAAAGCACAGCTTAAAACTGAAGTCACACAGTGGTGTAGTAAGATCTAAATGTTAATTGAAATGATGTTCATTGAGTTTAATTCTTCTTTACTGAGCCATAGTAGAGGCAAGGGGCTGGAGGCAATAAGAAAATCACCTGAAGAGCTTAGGTAGCTGAGTTGGGTGTATGGGATGGCTACCCACAGATTTTGCGGAACACTCATAGCTTACACTAATATGGAGGTTTTATGTCTCTTTTCTGATATCAAGATTTTAAAGTATTTTATGCTATGAATGGACTTTAAGAACAAAGACTAAGCATCTACATGTTAAAATGTGATTGGTGAAGATCGGGAGCTCTTATCTACTGTAACAGCAGATTGAACTAGAGATAATTCAGATGGTATCAAAATATGTAATACAGTTTTCTAAAAGACTTCATTGCAATCCACATCCAATCCTGCAGAAGTGCATGCTTCTGTACAGCTTTATCAATCTACTCCATAAAATTACTAATGTGTTTAAAGGTATAGATTGCACCCTTTGTATGGTTTTAAGCATTTCATTTCAGTGCTGCCTCAGTTCAAAATGCTGCCTTTAATCATTGTATTCCTTAATATATGCCCCATGTGAAACAGCTATCAGAACTCTTTTCATAAAGAAACTCTGGAAAATATGAGGTTATTAGAAGCCTTCAACAAGTAGAATTCATTCAGGAATGTGCAATATAGGCTTGATCCAGTCTGTTTATCCACATTGGTTATGAAGGAAATGCTATGTGACGGTATCACTTTAAATTCAATATCAATCCACCAATGTTTCAAAAAGAATCATTTAACAATGAATAATGCTTGATTGTAGATCACTGCAGTAAATTAGAATATCCTAATTTAATAGAGTATGATCTGTTATTTGCCAACAAACATACAGATTGCCTTATAAATCATGCAGTAGTGTGGTTATAGAATAACACTATACCGAATTATATTTCATTACTCCCTATTGAACAGTCATGTTTCTGTCATATAATGTAATTTTCTGTCTTTCAACTTAGTTTCCTAACAGAAAATACAAATTAGTCCTGAAGAAAAATATTTACCGGGGGTAGGCAATTAACTATTCATTTCAGGGAATGGCACCAAGTACATGAAAATCATTAAAATGCTCTTTCTTTTTCATCTCACTGTATGTAGCTGTTTATGTATTTAATGAATCATAATGAGTATAAGGCCACAGCTGAGGAAATAAAAAAGAATAGGTAAGTCTATAGATTTATGTGTTCCAGACACAAGCTTTCTGTAATGATAATTCTTGTTCACATCAATCACTGATGCTTCAGAAAGAGATTTCTCCTGACCTCTTCTTCTGTTAATGACTAAAAATACTTGAGGTGTAGTATATGTTTTTTGTTATTGCCTTACAATTATTTATCCTGGGTGCCTTGCTTAGCATGCATGTTAAGGAATCATATGTTCCCAAAATATGGAGCAGGAAGGGTTTGCATGGAGACAGGCCTTATATACTGAATAAAAATAGTGAAGAACTTATTGAGCAAGTGGGGTAGAATTAAAGAAGTAAAATAATATTACATCCAGAATCATTCCTACAGATTGGGAAAGACTTGTAACAGTTTGAGGCAGCTTCCATGGTAGAACTGAAAGGCTTTAACACAAAAAATATATCCCACATTTCTAGTATTTTGGGAAGGGATCATTGAGCAGCCTAAATAGTAACCTGGGTTGCTACAGTATTTAAAAGCATATTTTTAGCACCTACTAATTTGACGATATACAGCTGATTTTGGCAAGTGCCTAATTCACATTTTGGAACACTGCGACATTGTCTTGGATGTCCCGTTATCAGCTTAAATCCTTTTGAAAAAAATTGGCCACTGTTATGTACTTGATTTCAGTGTATGATGGAAGCTTCCTGACTGGAAGTCCCAATAGTTTGAAATTCAACAGGTTCTTAAGGCCTCTTACATCCAGAAGAACCTCAGGCAGCCTCGTGCATGAGAGGAATGCAAAGGTGTATGTACGAAAAGCCTGCTAATCATAAAGTAAGATTCCTTGTGAACATAAGTAGCTCACATACTACAGAAGCTACAAGAACCTGCTGTTAACTGTTTCATCTTTTTATTTCTGTAGGGGTTTCAAAATCTCCTTTCATCTTTTCAGACGGGATTCTCTAACAAGCTCACACTGTTCCTGTAGACATCATTGGGGTGTGATCCTAGGCTAAACAGGAATAATTAGAACAAACCCGAATGCTTGGGGAAAATCCCCGTTGACCTGTTTTTTATGGTTTCTGACCTGTAAAAGTAAATTTTTAAAGGTTTTGGTGAGAAGCAACTTTTCTTTGTGAAAGAAGAAGCAACTTCTTCACCTGTAGAAAAAGAATCAACAAAAACACCCTAGACATAAGCTTTTCCTTTAAATTATTAACACATTTAATGTGAGGTACTACAGTCTTACCTTTACAGTTTGATGCATGTTTGTTGACGGTGCTTGCTACTGCAAGCTCCTTGATTAATCCTGAGGGAGAGGATTCATTTCATCTTTAACAAGATCAGAGAGCATCCAGATTTGAGTCAGGAAATGGTCCAACAATCCAGTTGTGGAGTTAACCTTGCTCTATTTCATTTTCTTTTCTGTTTATAGCTGGACAGTGCCACTTCTCTCATCCAGGCAGCTAAAAATCTGATGAACGCTGTGGTCCTTACAGTGAAAGCATCATATGTGGCATCTACTAAATATCAGAAGGTCTATGGTACTGCTGCAGTGAACTCACCAGTTGTATCTTGGAAGATGAAGGCCCCTGAGAAGAAACCTCTAGTAAAGAGAGAAAAACCAGAAGAATATCAGACGAGAGTGAGAAGAGGGTCCCAGAAGAAACATATTTCCCCTGTACAGGCCTTAAGTGAATTTAAAGCTATGGATTCATTCTAAACCACTAAGCTTTACCAGGAGGGTTTTATATTCTTTTTGTATGCATACCTGCCGACTTGTATGCGTCTGGCATGGGGTGGGGGGAAACCGTGTCAATTTGCATGCAACCTATTGAAGACTATTGAAGTAACTATCTGCAATGCCAAAGTTTAGGGCATTCTCTTCTGATGTGGAAAGGATTTATTCCAAGCTTCCTTTTTAAACTAAACCATAGCATTAAATTGGCCAACAAATTTGCATCATGGGGGTAAGTGTGGGTTAAATAATAAATTCAAGTCTAAACCCAGAAATTTTTATGCATGCAAGAAACATTAGGTTGGCAGGTATATTAAGTGAAAAACAATGGAATTGTAATGGTAGACCATAAAGCTTGTATTGCTTCTGTTCCAGTGCAAAAATGTACTAGCCAATATGCTTAAATGTGTGGCCCAATAATTAAATGATATAACTTTTAAGTCATCTTCATTATAGTATGTGAATTTTTAAAACAGATACAAACTAATTCATCTTAAAAAGGCTTCTTTTAAACCATATTTTGTTCTTTATATTCTAGTAGTGTTATGATTGATCACATTTCAGTTAATCCCATTAATATGACCAGAGGTTTACTTTTGCCAATTGAATTCCTTATGGTGGAGTATGAAGCACAATATGGTGATTGACATTGCCTTTTATATTATGATTATGATTATGATGATGATTATTATAATAGTAGTAATAGAAGACCTGGTGGTGGAATGTTTAGAGACACGGAGACTGACAGTGTGAGAATTTAGAGGCAAATATGTAGGTGTAGCTTGGATTACAGGTATCTGACATACCATTGTAACCACTAACTCAATAAACTCATTTAATCTTGGAATCCTCAATATGGCTCATCTCTTTTAATGCACAGATATGTCCTGCATCGTCATTGATGTACGCAGTGATTAATTTTGCCTCATGCTTCCTTTTTCTCTTTTTACACTTAGAATCAAAGAATCATAGAGTGGCTTGGGTTGGAAAGGACCTTAAGATCATCTGCTTCCAACCCCTGTGCCATGGGCGGGGACACCTCACACTAGACCACATAGCCCAAGGCTTTGTCCAACCTGGCCTTGAACACTGCCAGCGATGGAGCATTTGCCACTTCTTTGGGCAACCTGTGCCAGTGCCTCACCACCCTCACAGTAAAGAACTTGTTCCTTATATCCAACCTGAACTTCCCCTGTTTAAGTTTTAACCCATTATATTATTTTTCTTATGTTTTATTACCAGGATAGCCAAACATGGTCAGTGGGTCAAAACCAGAATTCAAATCTGAGACCAATTTAAGCCTCAATACATAAAATATATGTGTGTGTTTTGGGATTAGATTAATTTGTTTAAATTAATGGCATAAAAATAGTTCAACTTACTGAGTTTATAAATTTGAGATCACAGAACCTTGGAAATCATCTATTGTGCCGCACT